CTCCTCTCGCTGGTTTTATCATCCCTCACAGCAGCTGATGAGACAGAGAACACAACACAGGGGGGCCCTCACAGTAAAACATCACAGCTCCTGGTTTCATGGCCAAACACCACTAACGATTACGCCAGCATTTTGCTCGCTCTCTCTCTCTCTCTCTCTCTCACACACACACACACACATACACACGCACACGGGGATCACTAGAGCCACCAAGAACAGTGACTGCTACGACAACTCGCAGTGGGGCGAAGCCTCTCTCTACATCTGAGCACGGTGAGCTGGGCTGAGGTCAGTCTCCCTCCCTGCAGGCGTCGGAGGTCAGTAGGTGTTCTCGTGCCCGGCCAGAACGTAGAGGTTGGAGCTAGCGCTGGGGTCTGGGGTGGGTCGACTCTCCAGGCAAATCACCCTGAGGGGAACACAACACAATTGTCCTTAGTATTAGTACGAGTTTTATGGCACTTTCAACACATTAAGGTCATAGAAGCGCCGAAGAATAGATGTATTACAAGAGAGACCTTGAACACGGGACCTCAGAGAGTTTTCGCCCTTGTCCAAGACAGCTAGGTGTACATCTTTCCTACCATAAGATCTGGGGTGTGGCTGAAAGACAACAGTAAAAAGGAGCCAAGGAGTAGCAGTAGAAATGTTGCAGAAAGAGATAGGAGTCTAGAGGAGAGGGCAAAGGAGGTAAGGAGGTGGGGGCAGAAACTGGAGACGAAAGCAGACGACAGAACATTGTTAGAGAAAAGGAAAGGATGTGAAAGGAGAACATTTTGGAGAACAAAAATTTTCCGTCATTGTCCGGATTCGAACCCAGGACCTATTGAGAGAGAGACGAACAATTTAACCTCTAGGCTATGACAGCCCTTTACCCAAGTCTTAGTTTTAGTAGAGGTTTTACGGCGCTCGCAACTGTATAAGGTCATACGAGCGCCAGAGGAAGATTAGAGGTGTCACAAGAGAGTAGCAAACATAAAAAAGAAGAAGGGGAGATAAGGACGATAGATGTTTGATAGGAAAAAAGAAGCAAACCACACCAAAGCACCCGCGGGGGCTCTCGTGGCCTAGAGGTTACGGTGTTGGCCTCTCATTCAAAGGTCCCGGGTTCGAATCCGGGTAGCGACCGAAAA